TTAACCATAAGTGTAATTGTATTGATTAAGAACTAATTAATTTATCATAATTTTAATGAGCTATATAACAAAAAAAAATATAATTATAAAAAAGAAAATCTCGAATATTGAAACTACTAATATTCTCTAATACATACAAAAAAATAATAACAAATGATTTAGATATGTTTTATATTACGCGAAACATTGTTTTACTAGAAAATATATCTCTTTCTCTATATTATCACTGCAATAATTTGAAATATACGAATCTTTAATGCTCACTTTTGATTAGGAATTAATCACTTGAAGCGCACAAAATAAATATTGGAAATTTTCATAAATTTTAACATATTACAAATAACTTTGTGTAATATATTGCAAATTTTTTTTTATGCAGTGGATACACTTAAAAAATACGTAAAAGATTTACGAAATACATGAGATGCACGTAAATTTAGAGACGATTTATTGAAAAAAAAAATTTAATGTTTCCTTCGGACCATAAGACAAATCCAAAATTTGATTAAATTATTGTAAGTGCGAACGGAATGTTTTCTTGTCTTTACTTAACAGTTTTAATTGTTCCTCTTGTTTTCTCCATTATCAAACCATTTTCTCTGTTGGTGCTGGACCAAAATGTCTTTATGCTGTTCTGTTTCCATATTATTTTGTATAATTGATCACATTTAGTTTATACCTCACGTCATATGAAAGTCTTTTTTGTTTTATTTTCAAATTTAGAGATGATTTATTGAATTTTTTTTAATGTAACCTTCGGTGCATAAGACGCAAAATTTTAGTTCATTTTTCTATGTTAGAAGATGCGTCTTATAGTTAAAAAATAGGTAATTTCTCATTGTATATATGGAAACATTTTCAACATGCACATACATAATTCACTGATACTCGTGTTGATCCAAAAAGCGCATCCTCTTGTAATGAATTGGTTCAAAATCGACTAATAGAATTGTTTGAGCAGGCTGTACATATGTATACTGATAGAAAACATTATATGGTGCCAACGCCGTTGATATTGATTGGATTTCTACAGGTTCTACTGTATAAAGAATAAAGATAATATCAAAAAACGGTCGAATTTCCAGCTTTTATTAAAGAACAAACTCCTGAAAACTCGACACATGCCTAACACATTTGATATTCACAAAACATAAATTTTAATCTTAGATCTTTGTTATACCAGTTGATAGGAATTATTATACGAACTTTGAAAACGTATTTTAATGTATTAGAAGTTAAAAGACTTCAACATTTCAATATAGTTGTAATGAAATTATTTTCAGTTTGAATATTTTATCCATATTTTTCTTAGTATTATTCCTTTTAATTTGTACATTTAGGTTCTGTAAATTTCTTAATACTACTTTTTTCGATTTAACTCTTAAAAGTTTTGTTTATAAAAACTTTATGATAAAGAATGTGGATTAAAAATGTATACAATAAATTATCATTATATGATATTAAACTCAATAGTATATTTGTAACTATTTTAGTAAATAAAGGAAATATTATCTAGTGTACAATTTATTGGACAGATAAAAATGAACATACATTAAAAATAGATATTACTTGTAAAATATGACTAAAAGTTTATTTTGACAAGTATTTTCATACAATTTTAATTATATATGTAATTTTTTTAAAAATATTATTAAAACTGGTATTACCTAGCAAAGTTTACAATAAGATCATATAATTAATAATTCAATTTCGTAATGTTAATTAAATATATAAAAGAAACAATTAATTTACAAGAGATAAACATTTAATTTAAATTTTAAATGCAGTAATTTTAACATGGGTTTTGCAGCTAATAACAGCATGCATAATTACAAGTTCGAACAATTTGTGAAACAAAACTAAATATATGAAGAAACACAAGTTATTGCAATTGATTTTGGATTAGGGTCATAACCTTACGTCTAGGTAGTTGACTAATACCGCTCGCCGTTTGCTGATTACTATGATTAGTGTTATTTTCATTTTTTTGTAAGCGTCCTTTTATTTTATGTAATTACAGATAGCAAACAATAATTTACCGGCATTAAAATTGTTTAATAATATGGGATTTGATGATATTATCAAGCGACCGATTAGCATATTTATATACATATATATTGCACGTACAGCACAATCATATACACACACATGCATACGATATCCTGGAAATAACATAATAACACACTCACGCAGCCAATTTCATTTCAATACGTAATTACTTCATGCATTCGCGTCTGGCCCAAGTAATTATGCAACCGGTCGACTATTGTTATTAAAGTAAAGAGCGTTAAGGAACGTGAGTGGAGCCACTTAATTCCTCGCGTTCCAACCCTTCGAACTGATGCGAAATCGCGAATTGAAAGATCCTATAATTGGCATACATATATATATGCATTATGGATGGACATTCTTTATACGCCCAACTTTAAAAGCCACCAACAATGAAATACAGTTCCTCCTCTTCAATCGAAAGCCCACTCGGATGAACGAATTTTATAATTACCTCCGTTTCAGACCCTTTCAATGGATTGATTCAAATCCTATACCATTATAATAGCATTTCGCTGTACTTCATTTGATTTTAACAATACCCAGCATTATACTTCTTTAAAGTATAATTTATTAAAAACCATCTAGTTTTTCTCACAAATACCCTATTTTTCAGACTATAAGACGTACCTTTCTACATAAAGAAATAGTCTCAAAATTTAAAATCAAATGAGGTACAATTTATACCTCATTAATTAAAAAATCTTAAATTTTCTACTTGTCTCATCCAAAAAAGTAATTTAATAAACACAAAAAACTTAATTTGTTGCAGCTATACATTTTATTTATATGAATGACTTACAACTAATTTAAGTATTTCATCATTTTTACTATATTAACATAAATTTATTACTATACAAAAACAGTGGAGAAAAATGTTATTCTCCTAATTTGAAACATTAATATGCATGTTCCTTTTATGAAAACACATGTTCTCTTCGTACACGACGCTTTGTTAATATATGAAATGATTCATTTCCTTTTTTCTCTCTGAATAATTCCTGCGAAGGAGGATTCTGACAGCATTTTTATTACGATAATTAATTAGTAGTCTGATGAAACTTTTATGACATTTAATTAAAGACTAATTCATTCCTAAAAGCGAGACATATGAAAGTAACGATGAATCATTTAGAAAATAACTGCTTTTTCGCATTACTAAACAAATTTCGATTCAATGAAAAGCAATATATTATTTAAACTTTCCATTGATTCCATTGACGCAATTCCTGTTATTTTGTATTATTGCTTGTTGTGTTGCATGAAACCATAGATAATTTATTGTAGCAATAGCTTATGTTGTAGGAAATATGAAATTCAATTTCAAGAGTTATAATTTAAACAAGGTAATTAGGTCCTATATAATGATCAACTAGAGAGGATGTGAATATTTTATAATATTGATTATGTAGAGATATGTCCTGAGGCTATTTCGGTTAATTACTAAACTTTAGACGTTAATCATTAAGATAGTTACTTCAAAATTTACGTCGAACTTGAAACCAGTTTCAGATTTGTTTGATTGACTTATTACTTACATATTTTTTATGTATAATTTGATGTTACTTCAAATTTTTTATTTCTTGAAATTTCCATACAGTTTTGTAGAGGATTATAAGAGTGGTATAAAAGTACAAATTTGCATACATAATAAAAATGAAAGTTTACAAGACAGTTTTATTTTCGAAGAAACATACATATTTTATAAGTAAAATACACATAGATATAGAAATAAGACCATCAAAACAAGAAGTTTAAATTCCGTTTAGTGTTTAAAAAACGATCAACATTGTCGCTGTACATGTTCAATTATTGATTTTCCACACACGAACCGATTAATAATTCTCCGGACATATGCGATTTGTCTTTCGTAGCATAAAAATGTACACGAGATTGCAGTGTCTTAATAGCAGCATGTGTGGCAATTGAATTTATGATTACAGCAAAAATATTGACTTGTGGGCAGCTGAACATTGTACAAGAAGGATGATTAAAAATGCAATTTCAACACATTACTGGTCATGATGTCTCGCGGAGGGAATAACAACTTCATAATGCATCCAGCAAACCATAAAAGGAGACGACGATCCATTCATCGAATCGAGGATTGTTTTTAGAAAGTCGCTGCCGAAAAATAGTATAAAATAAACTGTAGATAGAAATAATATAAAGAAGAGGAGATGAAGGAAGGAGCCGTAGTCGGAAGATGAAGAGAAGAAGAGAGGAGGCCGTAATAGAAATGCCAAGCGACGAAAACACATAAATTATACTAATGTATGGTAAACATTCATATAGTTGAGTGTAGCATTCATAAATATGTCACTACCGTTGTCAACTAAATTCCGATTAATGTGTACTCGGGCTTGGGAAACTTTTTCCATCCTTCTCTCCGCCAAACGGATTAAAGAAGGAGCGAAGACAGCCCAGCATGCATCAACACCCCAAGGACGGTGTTTTATTATTGTTCTCGAGTGTTCATTTTCCTCTTCTTTCTTTCTTTTTTTCATCATTTCGTTATTCTAACGTATCTGTATTTTGGTAGGAGAAACATAAACACAAGGAGATTAGTATTAAATAACTTTAATGTTTAAAAAATAATCAGAATCAAAAAACATCAACACATTCTCGAGTAGTTCAAAAGAGTTTCAACAATTAAAAATAAAATAGAGAAAAAAAAAGTTACAACAACAAACAATCTTTCGAACGTTTCGTTATTATTATTACACATGATATGGAATATATATTTCTATATATATATATATTTATATATAGTATTTGAAACTTTTGGGAGAGAAAACGCAAGGATTTTCTAGTTTCTGCTTTTTAAATAATAATAAAAACAATAAATAATAATTTTTCCTTTCTTTTATATAATGAGATCTGTACAGAAATATATAATTTTTTATATATATATACACTGATTTTATCAGATGCGTTCAATTTTTTTTTTCATTATTATGTACAAAAAATGTTCAAACAATAGGATTTTTTAGCAGTCTAAAATTGTACAGATTATTATTAAAAATTAATATCACACAGTCAAGTTCACGTTGAAGGTAAACACCGCTGGAAACTCACTGATTGTTCTCTTCATTATTATTTTTTTTATTTATTTTTTATAATTATTTCATTTTATTTATTTTTTTGGGAAAGTGAAGACTAGTCGAAAAAAGTCTGTTAACACAGTTTTGGTTTGCAGTTTAGGGGTGCATTCCTGGAGCTGCTCCTAGCCTGGGACCGTATATTGAGTATGGGGAAAGATACGGATTAAGTCCGGGATGGGCCAGAGGATAAGAGGCTAACGGAGAAGAGGTCAAGGATGGTGGCAGGAGAGATGGTTTGCTGTAGGGATGGTAACGGGGGTTCGCGAGAGGGCTTAGTGGTGGTGTCGGGTAGGTTCTGTGGAGGAGAGGGTGATTCGGAGGAAGACCGGGTGCACTTAACATCGACAATGGTGAACTGGATTCGGACACTGTGCTCGTGTGAGTCCTGAGATGGGTCAAGAGTTCCTCGGAGCTGGAGAACCTCTTGCCGCAATAGGCGGCATCTCCGGAGATCCAATTGCATACGTAGGGAAGATGAGAAGCGGCGGCGAGTGCGGCCAACTGGGCATGGGCATAAACTGCGGCTGCTGAACTGGCACTCATGTAGCTCGGTTTCGAGGTGGCGTGGTCGCATTGCGTGCATCCTGCTGAACATGAGGTCGGTGTTTTCGGTCCGGCGCTCGCCGGTCCCAACAGATGGGAGTTCAGACTGCATCCAGTGCAGTAAGGATCCCTGCAGAGCGGATCGCTCGGGCTCTTCATCCTCGCGTAATTCAAATAAGGATTCAGACCGCTCGCTTTGAGTGCGTGATGCTGAGACATCAGATGGCTACTGGTCATTAAATCCATTCCAAGTGGTAGCGCGGTCGGATGGTAAGCACCCAAGTATGCGGAGGTTGGCGGCATGCCCGGCTTGAACGTTCCCAAAGGAAGATCTTTAACTGCTGGATCCGAAGACGAAGATGTAAGAATACTCTGGGTCGCACTTAATTTCACACCGACGGAGGTTGGAGGACTGATAGTCCTGTGATCACTGATCTTCGACGGCGAAGATTCTTCCTTCTCATCCACCTGACTTTTCGGGGATTCCCTCAACGATGTGGCACTCTGATTACTGTTACACCTGACACTTTTGTTGGACGCAACCGGGGTACGAACGCGGTTGGACGCTGACCCGGACCGCTCCTCAGGGGTCTTCGACTTTTCGCGGATGTTCTCGTACGGCTTGAAGTTCGCCTTGTGCGGTGACTCCGGCTTTCCGGACTTATCCTTCCCCAGGTCAACAACACCTTTGGACTTCTTGTCTCCACTTTGGATCAGCTTGGAGTTCGGGCTATCCGCTCCAATCTGGCTGCAAGTTTGCGCTAGCAGAGCCAAAGGACTCTTCTTAGCATCCAACTGTAAATTAAAAAAAAACAATAAATTAATAAATCAATCAAATAAAAAAAAAAACAAAAAAATTAAAAAATCACTTTTTTAAAAATACTTACAGTAGTTGGAAGAGGAGTTAAATACTCCGGTCGGAGATATTGATTACTTGAAGTAATCATCTTGTTATTAGAGAAAGTTCTCAGAAGCTCTTGATAAAAACTTTGATTTTTTTTTAGAGTTTGGATCTTCGAAGATAACTGTTTTTTTGTTGGTAAGTAATCCGTCACGAATAGCGAGTGAGAGTATCTGCAGGAGCAAGCACAACCTTCTACTAAGAACTCGAGAGCATGACTAACGTTCGTTCGGATAGTCCGTGCGACAGGCGCGCAGTCAACTGAGTGTGACGTCACGCGTCTCTTCATCCCCACTGCTTTGAGCTTTGACACCCTCGACCGCAGATCACTGTGTTATTGCTTCTTCTGTGCGCCTGTCGGCACCCCCTTTTTTTGTTTGTACCAAGGGACGCCGTCATACCCTGTTCCCTTAAAATTTCTAAACAATTATCACGTATATCCGTATCCTTATTGTTGTCGTGTTTTATATTATGGGATCTATTGCAGTGCTTATAAACCATACTTAAATATCCAGGTTGAAAAATAGGTAGTAAATTCAAATACTGATGCGAAGTTGCATTTTAATGATACAATACAATACTTAGAATTCGAATGATCTACAAATATATAATAAATTTAACTTTATTGTTCATATTTTATATAACATATTTACGATTTAAATACTATGAAATACCAAGTTCTGCGAAAATAATTTTAAAATATTTCAAAAACCTTATATACTCAATTTACAATATTTCAACTACTATTATATATTAAATAAAATTGATTAATTGTATATAAAATCACAAACTTTAAAAACTTTTTGTTACAAATATTTCTGAAATAACAATTTTAATGATAATTTGTATGTAATAATAATACATTGTCTTTTCATTACAAATTTCAATTATTTCAATATTTTTTTAAAAATTGTAGAAATAACTACAGATATTAACTGTAGTTTTTTTTCTACAATTTTCGTCTAAAATGAATGAGATAATGATGAATTTGAACTTTTAATTTTTTATATTACTCTGAAAACGTCTTACAGTTTATATACAGAAATGCCTTCCATAGTTCGGATTCGTATAGTCCGAGTTGAAAATTTCAAAATTTAATTTAATTGATAAAATAAAAATAAATTCTCAAGAAACAGTACACAAATTGATTCTTTTTATACAGAAATAATAACTTTTATCCGATTACCTCGATTAGTCCGGTATCAAAGAAATATTTGCGGACTTAGTACTTAGAAAAAATACAAGACATCATATTCTACCACGAGTTTCTATTTCCTAAAAGATTTAGTGAATAAGTCTAAATTGTAACACAACTATAAACTTAGATATAATAAATCTAAATATTTATTAAACATTTTTTCCTATAGACAATTCAATTATGTAATATATTTATTGTAATATATTTGACACAAAATGTTGTGTTCATTTGATAATTATATAGTGGAATATCAAATTGTGTGATGAAATGTTTCACTAATTACAAACAAGTAATTGTCATACAAATTATTTTTCAAACATGATTAGATTTACTTTTTTTTCAAAAAAAATTAAAAGACTTTTTAAATGAATTAAAAACATTTATGATATCTTTATGAATTTTTCAGTTATTTAATTTTTCTAAATTCAATGTAAATGAATGATATATTCCTGAATTAATAATTAGTCTTGGAAATATCGTTTCATAGAGTTTATTTATTTTTTGAAAAATAATAATAAAACTATTTTGTAGATTGAAAGTATTTAATTGACGACAGTGTGAAAGAACCATTAACTTTTGAAATTAATTTAATTCACTTATGAGATGGTCATGAATTGGTGCATTGCATTTATATTACTTGTTTTCGTTAGGGTAAATGTAAATGCGTCATATATTTCAGTATAAATGGGTCCTGGATGCATCGTAACAATGTCCACCCTTAAGCAGTTAAGGGCATCGACAGCTGATGACAGTGTGCGTTTTTTTTTTGCTTTTTAGTGTTCGTCCTCCAATTCGATAGGGCGTAAAAAGAGCATTCCGGCAATTGCGGAGGTTTACGCGAACGGTCCCCGGGGTCCGATCGAAGAGGGTCCTTCTCTCATCCCTCTCGTCCTTGCGCTCGTCCGCAAATCCTTCTGGCCGTCCGCCGCGCCAGCACCTAAGGGTCATACGTCTTGTCGAAGCCAATCAGCCGTGATTTATACGCGTTTCCAGCATCCAGAATCCCGCAGCATCATCAACATCGACCCCGAATGGACCGACCGATCGACCGCCGATGGATAGATGGATGGAAGGATGGATGGACGGATGGTTGCATGCACGTGCACCTCGTTTTTCGATTATTATCTCACCGCTGAAATTCTCCTTTCATATCCATTTCATCGCGCTATCTGATCGTATCGATTACGGTAGCTCCTCTCTCGTTATTACGGAATTTAATTATAGTTCATAAAGCTGCTCTCTCTGCTCTCCTTTCATCTATTTAATACCCAATATTTCATTCCGTCTATACAGAAAATCTCGCGCACATCAATCTAATTTTAATAAATAAACATAATAGGGAATTCATTTATCCTTCACTCTCCCCTACACATAAGCACTCATACAAGTAGACTCCTTTGATTTATTAATGACGTCCACTGTTTAATCTTCCCGCTGAGTTTCCAAAAAAAGTAATCACATTCGTTATACTAATCCAATTTTATAGTAACCCCACAAGCTTAAAACGTTTTATCTATAAATAGTGACTTTTATATTCACAACAATAATTATTAATTCTATATACACAAAAAAAAATCTATTCATTCGAAAACGTACGTTCATATACACTATCAATATTTATGTAATTAAAAGTAACGTTACTAATTGGTTTTGCCGGAATTTAAGTTGAATTTAAGTCAGTTTTAATTAGGTAGCTACGAAGTATCCATCCATCCAATTATGAAACGTATTATTGTGATAAAAATTAATCCTCCATGAGCATAAACTTCCATTTATATTGTAAGGTGTGCATTATGTATACGTTTTCTTAAAATGCGAACGAAGGTATGAGTTGTCTATAAACTTTTTTATAATTTTCCATGAGGAAACTTCATGCATAAGTTTATTATCATGAATACGCATAATCTAGTTAATTGATTCCACACTATTAGAAACCGCATTAATCGAGGTCTTATAAATGCATAAAAATATACAGCATAAAAAAAGATCATTTATTTATAATTTTTGTTTAATACTGTTTTAGAATTGAGTTTGTTCTGAAGTTTTCAAATCGTACTATACTGAATCCGCACTAATCGAAGGCGCAGTATTCGAGGTATTGCTATGCTTGGAATCAATGAATATTGTTAAAATTTCTGAAATTGTAATAACAAATGACCATAATCTAAGAAGATATTCAATGTATATTTTGAATTTCTTGACGCCACTTAGAAGTATTTCAATTTAAGATCATACCAAATATTTTTAGATTTTAAACCTGATTTTTCTCTCTGATTAAATTCATATAAATATATTTAAATAATTAAGAAAATTTTAATAATTCGTTTAGAAGATTCTTAAAATTTTATGTATATTTCTTTTTTTAGTACCACTACCAATAATATTAGTTTCACTGATAATAAAAGACACTTCTTTGAAGATTTATTTTTATTACATTTCTTTATGTTTTATTTATATATCGCTTTTATCCTTCCTCCTGATTAATTTATTTCACAAACGTTTCTTTCGAAAATGCCATTGATTAAGTATGCCATTAAAATGTTAAATTTATTACGTGGAATTTCAATAATTACACAAGATACAGAAATTAACGACGGAATCAGAGACGATTCCTTTTTTTTATTTTATTTTTTTTGTTTCTTTTTTATTTTCGAATATTTATTATAACACAAATCATTCAGCAATGATTAGCGCAAGACAAAGGGGAGGAGGATTTGACACTATTTGCATACAATCCGAATGCTTCATTCGCCTTTACCATTTTTCTTTTCGTGAAATCCATCCGACAATTCTGTGACCTTATTTTTTGGCGTAAACATCGTTACTTATGAAACATTTATCGCCGAATTATTCTGTCTCTTTCTCTCTTTTTTTATACGTCTGATGTTGCTGTTATGTTTTAAATTCTCCGCTAATTTATTTATTCCTTTATGGTTTATTTATTCTCATTGAATATTGAGCAAGCCCACTAAAAAAATATAAATAATAATATAGTAATAAAACGTAACTTCTCAGAAATCCGAAATCAAGTGAATCAACATTCTACGAGAGTTTTATTTTTATCATCATTTCCAAACCAAATCGCATTGCGCAATTATGAAAGCTAAATGTTTTTGAATTCTGGAATTTCGCATATTCTTTATTGGATATTTTTATTGTAAAAACGTTTTCAATGTACTTTTCTTCATCGATTTAAATTTTATGTTACATATTTCACGGTAATAATACAACGATGCATAGTGCGCACTGTTTGAAACCGCTCTAATCAAAGACATTTTTTTCTGTCTATTTTACTTTCAAATAATATAAATTCATATAATAATATTATATTAAGAATGATCACCCCTGCAATTACTTTATTTGTCACAAGTTGTTTAACTTCAAATATTTGGGTATAAAATATCTGGTATTTGTGTTGCAATTATATGGAATATTTTTTGGATTGATATTGATAGACATGGAATAAAATTATATACTACTTATTTCTGGAAGTAAATGATTTACGTAATTATCAACATATTTTATACGATTCAGCACAACAAATGTATTTAACTCAGGTAACTTAATCAATTTTACTCTAATTTTGTCGAAGATTTATTAATATTTATTTTTTTTGTTCATAATATGTTAAAAATTAAAAGTTTAAGATTTAGGTCTTTTATTAAATTTATTATTTGTAACAATTTTTCTTTGAAAAGATATAATATTTCGTATTAAACACCAAAAGCATTTGAATATTTATCAAAAAAAAAATATATTTTGAGAATTTGTAAATAAATTATATTCTGAAAAACGTTGAATATGATATTCTTCAAGAAATACATAGATATCTCGATTAGTGCGGATTATTGGTTCTGTCAATATTTGGCACTATATAAGGACACACAAATCAAGGACTTTAAAACCTCACAAAATTAAACAGCATGAAAAGGGTTTGTGTATAAAAATATTTTGTGTACTATTTTTTTAGAATTTCTATTTACGTTAAAATTTAGTTTGGTTTGAAATTTTTTGACTGATTAATAAATTATTAATAAGTTTACAAGTAGATCACTTTTTAGCAAGAAAACTCTATTTTAATAAGTGGACCACATCTGTTGTATAAGATAAAAA